CTAGGTATATGCACACCGAAATAGAAGTTCATGACTTAAAAATGCAACATTCTTAAATCTTATGAAATCTGTTATTATATACGACATTAACAAGTAAACAAGATAGTAAAACTTAACAACGAGAACTGGAACTGTTCAAATATTTGATATTCAGTGTGAAGATCAATGAAGCATGAAAAAAGAAGCTAAAGAATCTTGTATTAAATATAAAGAATCTTTACTCACCTTGTTATTGTATTATCTGATTATAGGTTAAACTTTTCTTCTTCGATATATAGTTTTAAACGAAAAACGTTTTTATTAAACTTAAACGTGTTAAAAACTTCGAAATTGATTATATAATTATTGATCTTCTTCGTCGAATGTCTAAAACACTACTGCATAACGACTCAATGCTTTCTACTTTAAAGCAGAAAAGAGATTGTATTATGATCAAGGCGAACTCCCTATATATGTATATATATATAGACGTATATAGCTATATATACGTAATATACGTAGCTATATGCGTAATTATATGTAGCTACATAGCAAACAAAGTTTGAAGCATTTCATAGCAAATTAAATGTTATTGACGTAGCAATTAGAAATTATAGCCTGTCATTATCATAAGTATAGTGAATTCTAATCTTAACTTTGTTTTTCTATCCTCCTTTCTCTCGTTCTCCTCTTCACTTTCTCTTTCTTTCCGTTCCCCTCTTTCAACAGATTGATTTATACGACACTAGCATGTAATTTCTTCATAAATCTTTAATTAACATCATTAAAATGTTAATCTGTCTCTGTTAAAATTGTCTCTGATCATTAACGTGAGCAAAAATATCATTACTAATTCCAAAAATATAAACAGATATTATAATAAAATTTTATTTCAAAACTAGTACGACTTTTAAAAATAGTCTTCACAGTATTTTTGTCCCGATTAAGATGACGACAGTAACAATATTTCAACTATGTGTGACAGTGTAGTAAAGTCATTTATGCAAATGTATTACAACTTTTTATTTGTTAAATATTTAACGGAAGTTTTTGCAACTTTTATATTTGCCGCGTGAAATCCCACGAGATTAGTTCTCCAATTGATCGACCTCGGCGCTGCAATCAGTACACCTGTAAGCAGCTGCATTCTGATGCAGGTAACGATCGCGGCTTGGCGTCGAAGTTGTTTTGTCGTCGGAGGCAACAACAACAACAATAAGTCGCATATCGAATATCCGATTTGTAGAAGTTGATGTACTATGAACCGATTGGATGATCCTCCCGGGCTCATGAAAGGCAGAAAACCATCTTTTATTGGAATGAACGGTACGTAATTTTCGCAGTTACATGATTACAGAGTCCGTTCAACGTTGCAAATGCTTCGAAGCGTCAAATGAAACAACACGATTGGTCTATCTGTTACTCGGAAACACTTGCAACGTTAAACGGACCTTATCCTATTATTTTAACCTGATCCTAACCTCTTCATGAGCAAATTGGCAATCAATTTCAATCATAATCTTTAAATCAAAACTAATTCCGAGAAAAATGTTTCTCTTTTTATGTTATTTGACATTCAATATATAAGATATTTTTATTTGACGATACAAATATTATTCATATAGGCTGCGTTCGTTTTAGCGCTTATAGCACGTGTAAACATCATTTATCCTTGTTTAGTATTTGATAAAAACAAGGATGAAATGATGCTCAGAGCGTTGTAAACGCCAAAACGAATGCAGCCATAGTGATCAATTTCGTGCAATTCTAAGCCACATTGTTGCCTCACAGTCAATTCATGGATTTTACTTAGTCTTCGTAGCAGAACAAATTATAATTCGGGATTTACATTTTAGGGGCACCGGAAACGGATGATCAGCAACGTATACGATTCCAGATCGAACTAGAATTTGTACAATGTCTCGCCAATCCAAATTACCTAAATTGTAAGTACAAACTATTTATCTGCTTTTTTTTTTAAGATTCCTAATGCCACTGCTGCAGAGCTCTGGATTGATGACGTCAGGAGCCAGAAAATGCATGCCAAGAATTCTTGTGTGCTGCTCTCAAATAGAAAGATATTTGTACAACAGAACTTCTCTATATTTTTGAAAGTGGCATGTAAGAATTTTTGGCATGCGTGTTTCAGCTTTCGCTGTCATCGATTATACTTGCAATGAAAGCAGAAGTCTTAATTGATTTTAAAGAATCTCCTTTACTTAAGACATGTATGATTACAGTTTTGGCACAACGTGGCTACTTCAAAGAGGTATCGTTCATCAATTACCTCAAGTACCTGCTGTACTGGAAGGAGCCTGAGTACGCCAAGTATTTGAAGTATCCCATGTGCCTGTACTTTCTGGATTTGCTGCAGTATGAACACTTCAGGCGGGAAGTCGTGAATTCCCAGTGCACTAAGTTCATCGATGATCAGCAGATCTTGTTGTGGCAGCACTACACGAGACGTCGGACGAGACTCCTGCAAACGGCCGCCGAGCAAACGCAACACACCAATCCTCAGAACAATGGCATCGCGCAGCCCAAGGTTCCCTGAATTCGTAGCTTTAACAATGTTCGTCGTACGTGTTGATAGTATAGCATATTTAAAACAGAGTCAATACTTGATATGTTTCCTCTTTTTTTTTCTTTTTTCTTCTATTCTTTTTTTATATATGACAGTTCCTTATAAAAACTGACTCGCTTGACTGTGATAGCTCATGAATGAAGCAAGTCTCCAACTTTTCTATGTGTGACCTGCAAAATCGTGGCTCTTTCTCGTGCAACATTTCAGCCCCTAAGAATGCGATCACAGAGAAAGGGATATTTGCATCAAAAATGTCTATTTCTCCCTGACGCTCAGTCTTGTTACATTAATTGTTATATGTGTATATATTTAGACGTAATATCTCAGGATACGGTGGAAAAAACACAGTTACTCGTATACTTCAACGAACGCTCGATCAAGCTGCTACCACATCACGGTTATATATCTACATTAAATTCCAGAAAAAAAAGAAAGTTATTATTATCCGTATCACATGTATTGCACGCAACTTTGCAATGGAAGCGCGGGTCTGGCCTCTGCCGTTTATTCATCCTGAGTCTTGTCTTATCCTTAAATACGTTCGCCTGCGTTACTTTCTACGCATAACATTAAAATAAATACTATTGTTATAAATATGATAGTACGCATAATCGCGCGCCCGACTTATGTACGATATTTATACAGAGTACATACGTAATCGATCTATTTAATAAAAATAAACTAATCTTTTACTGCACAATTTGCATCGGCGATCGGGCGACGTTTCGTGCGAACAAAGCGGCTTGATACTTCGCGAGAGAAGTTCCATAACGCAAAGTCGTCTCGACTTTACTCGTTACTCGGCGCTCTTATTTTCCGAGAAATTCACTAGAATCCCGTTGCCGGCATCCACCCAGTCCTCCGAGAAGAGTTTCTCCCTCAGTATCTGCCTCTCCGTCAAGTCTTCCTTACTGTCGTTTTCCACATTATCGCTGTCGTTTCTGTTGCCGTTTTTGTTTCCGCGGTCGCCGATCATATCTTCCACGTCCGTCGCGCCGTCCGGCAGAATTCTGCCCAGTGTCTCCGGTAAGATCAGAGCCAATGCACCAGAGACGAGGCACAGCATGCCAACACTTAGTAATAGTACCGGAAGTGGCACGTTTCGCCCCTGATAAACAGATAATTTGCATCGTTAATATTTATTTCTCCATTAGCTGGTCGCGCGCGCGATCGGCCCACTTCTGATATCGCAACGAGATCGGTGCGAGCTGAAAGAGAAAGAAAGACAGCGCGTTTAGAAATGAACGGAAAGCCCAGCGGGGGGAGAATCGACAGCGTACCCATAATAGCAAGTGCAGCATGCTTAGGCTACCGATTTTCGCAAACACCACGCACAAACCCAAGCAACTGCCTCGTATCACCGTTGGGAATGTCTCAACGGTGTACAGATAGGCGATGGCGACGGTACTCGTGACGATTACTCTGCCAAACAGCAATATTATCGTTTTCGCCAGATCTGAAACAAGAGCGTTATACTTGTGTTAACATACATCCGCCACATTTTCCACGGGAGATAACTTGGAAGAATTAAAGCGCTATTGGCGAAGTTGTTCAACTTCACTTGAATCTTAATTCAAAGTTAAATAATTGTTGAATATCAAATAAAAAAAAAAGGAAAAAATGTAAAGAAGACGCGACTTCCCTCAAAATTCTTTCTTCTCTTTTCAAAATTCCTGGTCAACGAATTCATTCTCGAGATAAAGTCAGATGGTGTGAAACGCGCGCATTCGTTGATATGAAGTGCACTCGGCAGAGAAATGTTATATGTAAAACAATGTTTGAACTGTAAGCCGCGTAGAGTACAAGAATGAAAGGACTGCACAACAAGTTTCACCTGTAGAGAGAACTGTATTCTGTTTGTGCGTCACGTACCTGTCCACGGTGCAGTGGCGTCGATTAAAATGAGAAAGGCCGCAATTAAAACGCAAATGACGCCATTGAAGGATTGGTATAGACACATCGGCACTCGTCTACCGTATCTGGTCAGCACGAAGTACATGAATGTGTACGTTGCAATCTCCAGAGCTCCGCCCAGGGCGAACGTGATGTGCCTGTCGACTGGGAAATTCGGCGCGAGATCGTCGAGTACGCCGCAAACCATCGCAGACGCCAACCTTGAAAGTTGTCGCGATTTTGAAATGGAAAAACGTCTCGAGATGCCGAATGAAATGGCCGGGAAGCAATTTGCAAATGGTCTTACCACTGACAAATCATTATCACGCCGTATTTCCTCAACGTCGATGACTTGAACGAGTCCTTGAACGTTGGACTCGTCTTGGCTCCTTCCTTTCCACTCGTCGATTTCTCTGCATTTTCGCTCGCTCTCTCCTTCTTCGCTCTACGCAGCACCACCTCCTCCGCAGCCCTCAGAGAGACCCTTTGGTCGCACTCCGCTTGAGAGGTCGTCTTTGACCTTCTGTCGCACTTCGAGCTCGAAGGTAGATCCTTCGTGTCGCAATCTTGCGCGAAGCTTCGCGTCTCCTGTCGTAATTCCACGTTGGCAGATTTGTCCTCCGTGCTCGGCGGATTCGCTCCAGAAGCTCGCTCTGGAAATTATTTAATGTAATTATTAGCCGAGCAAGAGTGCCCTCGAATCGCCGATTGAAAAAGAGAATCGATCTCCACGTGAATCTTTCGATTGCTTTATTGCTTCGTGCAGATCCGCGTTGTACGTGAAAATACATTTACCTTTTTGTTCGACCGGTTCCGATCCGTTTATCAACAGATTCGTGGCCTCTTCTCGTTGCTTTTCATCGGATCTCGCTCTCTGTAGATCGGCGCTGGTGACGCGCGACTTCCTCTCCGGTTTTATCGGCGTCGTGTTACTTTTCACGCATACCTCTCGCTCCGCCGTTTTTTCGTTATGCGTCCTGATACAGCAGCCGTTATATTTTGCGATTCTCTCGAGCGCCATATCGGCCTCTGTCGACTTGCCCCTTGCGAGTAGCCACCTCGGCGATTCCGGTATAATCCTGTGAGTTAAAATAAAATTTGAAATATAAAGTATATATAAAAAATATTAAAGTATCCAATACGTTATATATATATATATATATATTTTTTTTTTTATTTATTTATATATATTTTTTCAGTATGTTTGACTTTAAACAAGTAAGTTTGCATATAAATCTAAAGAAACGCAATCACTAAAAAGATTTGATATCGTTAAGACGCTCTTCGGACGTCTCTCAGACATCTTGTGGACGTTTCGTTGAGTTTTCTCCTTTTTACCAAATGTACAGCACGGTGATCGCGGTGGGTACGGAGACGGCCAGCTGCAGAATTCGCCAGTCCGGAATCATATAGCTGAGCACCGCGAGCAGCACGAGGCCGATCGACCAGGAGATCTGCATGATCAGCGCGACGAGGGTACGAGATCGCGCCGGGAATAGTTCCAGGGAGAGGATATACGTGGAGTTCTGCAGACCCTGGACGAACACCCCTTGAAGACCACGCAGCGCCAGGAACGCGGGGTAACTCTGAGGTGAAGAATTTTACTCTCGTCTAATGTTTTTCAGTTTGAATCCTCGCACGAGTTATTCCGCGTGTCGATATCGTTCCTTCTCTCTCCCTCTTTTTTATTCACCTTCATCTTAGACAACTTTACTCTATTCTATAAACATACTTTGTACACTTGCAGAGATCTTATCCCACATGAATTTAAATCTGTCCATCTATCTATCTATCCATCTCTCTCATTCGAGTATCAGACGAACGATATCGAGCCGCGAAATAATTCGTCCTTGAGTGGGAAGGGTTTTCTTTCTCGGTTATGGGGTTGTAGAATCGCGCGCGCAAAAATATGTTTTAAACGACTCTTTAAGGAAAACTCTGATCCAGATTGCTCGACTCTATAGAGCAGCTTTCCCGAGACCTTTAAGTGTGATCATTGAGCACTCAACTGAACCATTCTCAACGCGCTCAAATCTGTCTCTCACCTGTACGATATAGAGTGCTACCGCCATCGTGCCCTGCGCGTAAAGGCAAATCGCTTGGACAGGAAGTCTGCCGATACGATCGGCCAGAAATCCGGCGATCCACGCGCCCAACAGCACCCCGGTGTAATAAGCGGTCGGGCCGAGGAGAGACAGGTAGCGCTTCTCGCACACCAAGCCCCATTCGATGACCACGCTGCTCTCGGCAAACTCCGTCATAAAGCGATATTCGCCGGGACAGGACGCGAGAGCCGACACTTCCGGCGACGCGAAAGTTACGTTGGCGTCGATCGATGAATTCGCGACGTCTTGGCAGCCGTAGCTCTTGCTCGTCGAATTCTTCGTCTGGAATACGCAAACGGCCCGATATAACACGGCATTGCGCCCTAAACCGCGCGCTTGTCGCAGAACTTTTATGCAATTTTTTGCAGCTCATAGAATCTCTCGATAATTCATCCTCAGACATTTCGGCAGATCCCGAGTTGTCGCATTTTTGCTAAATATAATTACTCATTGTTATATTTCTTCTCGTACATCTTAAAATCGTACTTTTTACTCCTCGTATAGTTCGACATCTTTGCTTAACATGTTGTGTTTATTCTTGTGAAACTATTACTTGTTCACATCAACACTTTCGCTATCAACGTCACATAATGTCATATGACAACGACATTTTTCTTTGTATACATATAACAGACCAAGTCTCTTTTGCACACTAAGGACCGATTTTTCAATAGCAATTTAAACTTGGATTCAAGTTTAAACTCTATTTTAACAATGCGTTTGTTTTGTTTAAGCAAAGGTTAAGTTGAAATCTAAGTTTAAACTATCATTGGAAAAAATCGACCCTAAGAAAAACAAGTGATTGAGTTAACGAGACTTTGCTTGAACGAACAGAATTTTTTCAAACAAACATTTAGTCGATTAAACGAATTATATATAGTTGCTGCGATGTATTATCAATCGATTCAACGATTGCAGCGATATATCAGCGCAACATGTTGCACTAACGCATAATTTGTTCAATGGATTTCTTTGAAGGTGAGTGACCGGCGATTTTGTCGAGCTTTTTTCTCAATACACGATTACACGTTAAAACAAACGTAATGAAATTTGCAGAGGGAATTTCCCAAATAGTCGTGGTGATCGATATATCAGCGATTTCGGGCAAATCTTGGACGCGTTCTGTTGCACTGAATTCACGCTTGCTTCGTTTAAACGCACTGAACGACAATTTCGCGCCAGGACGAGAGTCTTCGTCTCATCCTCGTGGAGCGCGGCTTCTTACCTGGCAGAAGAATTTCGGCGTGTAATTATGAAAGACCGGCAACGCGTGGCTCATGGCTACGATGACATAGTTTATTCCGAGCAGCAACACTAACACCATTTGAAAGCAGCCCACTTTAACCTCCTCGGCATTCATCGTGAACGATCTCGCCGGCGTGAACCCTTGACAATCGGACGACCGAGACTCCTCGCCCGTCAAAAGCGCGACACGCACTACGTACTGGTTTAAATACCACAAGAGTCCGGCATGTCACCTTCGTTCATTGCTTCACGAAAATTCGCGCGAACAACTTCAACGACGGCCAAACATTTCTTTCATTTGCACCAGCAACAACCCGATCCATTTGCGACGTGTGAATGTCCGTGAATAAATATTCGTGAGGCCTTTCTTATTGCGGATTTAAACGAGCAGTCGATGTCACGGCAGTTGAATGAGAGAAAGAAAAGCGTGTGCTGCTTGTAAGAAGAGATAACTGGTCAATTTGCAGATCGAGAACGAGCGGTTTAAGGAATCGCTTGTTTATGCGAAACGGAGTATCGAGCGGGAATGCATTGCTCGAGACAAAGTGTCATCCGTGAGGGTAAAGCACGCACTGACAGAGAGGGGATCGCCAGGAGTCGTCGTCTCTCTCGCAGGACGGTGCGAAGGAGGAAAACGAATGGCTGAATCGGAGGAGGACGGCGGTACACCGGCCTATTGTTTCGATAACTCACGACACACACACACACACACACACACATACACGCACGTATACGCACTCATCAGCGCGGCACGTACAATCCTGCCGGCAGAAAACGATCTTCTGCCAATAACGATCGATATTCCGGCTGACGTAACCGTCAACCGTTTCCTCCGTCATCATCATCGTCATCGTACGCGCTACCCGAGTATCGTACACCCAGCGTGAAAGCGCAACGAGATAGCCGCGGCGATAACGGAATAGCGATTTTTCGATTTTCACCGCGGGCCAGGTGGAAGACATCGGACTTAATGACGCGTTCGCGATAATTGCGCGTGATTGCGAGCGAATCGTCGATTTGTGCCGCTGTAAATTGAAGAGCCGGCGCGTAAAAATGGCACCGCGAGCGTTAACAATATGAGGCTCTCGGCGCGATCCACTTTCCCCAGATGATAGTTATTTGCATGGGAAGCGCGCGGAAAGCGCGCTTGAATTCCGCGATGCGCCGCGCGGCACATCACTAACGTATACAACCGCGGCGACGAGTCCGAGATAATGTCCTCCAGCTAGGTCTACGAACTCGGCGAGCTGTTACGGGCGCGAGTGAGAGTGTGCCGTGAGACGTAATATTAAATGTAGGGAGTGGAACGTTTCAACTCAGGATCCCGCGACGAGTGCTTCAGTTTTGGGCCAGGTGTTGTCTCGAGAACGACGAACGCGAAACTCAACAGTCGGACGAACGTAATCGAACAGGCAGATCGGCTCGGAACGGTCAATGCGGATCAGTTTCCACGAGAAGTTGGATAATTTTTATGAAGGATGCCTATGAGAATTATTGCGATTTAGATGTGTACAGTATTTCCCACGCTTGGAACTTGCGATGTTTGTCGGCCTGGATACTTATAATATCCATTCGGATCCGTGTGGATTTTGCCCTGAGTTGTGTCGGAAGATGAATAGAGTGCAAGAATAAAAATACAGGTTCCCAGAACGTAGAGAGCGCGTTTATTGCAGCTGACAGTGTAGCGTAGTAATATTAAAGAAAGTTCGATGATCAGATAAGACTCTTTGATGTACAATCATAAAATGTATGGACCAATAACATTAAAGCCACATCAACAAATGTTGACTCTCTTCGTTCTTCCTAATTCGCCTATTTCTGAGTTTCACGTCAATATGTTATTACGGTTCTCATGTATTTCGTGCAACAACAATTTTCGCTGTCGAGAAACCAATACGCGCGGGAGATTGTTCGTTGCGCCTATTACGGTGTAATTTCAGACGATCTCGCCGAAGTTCCGTCGATTTACGGTATCTCCTACTGATGTCTGAAATTGATGATATTTCAAAATTGGCTCTCTACAGCCGAAGTAAAATCATAAGTCTACACCATGCTACACGGCATGGGACTGACATGAAAGGAACATCGTTAATACATGACGTTGCGCTTTGACTCTGGACCGTTGACGTGAAACTCCCGATACGATTATCGTAGCGCGGCCTCGTGTGTGACCCGAATACACGAATTTGAGAATACGAGGTGCGAAAAATGACGAATACTCTTCGCCCGTGTCACCGTGTGAGGATCGCGCGAATAACGAAGGACGAAATTGTATATCGCGAGCACACACAACAGAAATAGCGATCGTGCGACAAAACGCGAATCGATACACGTCGCGTTGCTTCCTCGCCTCCCAGAGTTCAGTCAGAGTTGCGGCGCGTCGCGCGAATTCAGAGGTGAAATTACGTCGTAAAGTGCACGACCGACAAAACAGGCAACGCCTCGTGGACACGTCCAAAAGGCGTATCTGTTGCCCCAACGACTGTTGTCTACACTGATTAAAAAAAAAGATTTGCTGGCACAGCAAATTTTCTGTTGGTCTAGCAAAATCTTTTCGTTATTGTATGGACAGTAAAAAGATTTGCTAAGAGTACTAATCATTATTTGCTGGATATAATTTGCTGAATCTCCAAATTATTTGCTATAAGAATCATGATGGATTTATATAAGCAGTTGCAGTTTTGCTCCGATAGCAAATAAATTTGCTAAGGATACATTATTTTGCATCAATAGCAAAATAACGTGATTCTTAGGACAAATATACTCAACAAATTTTTTCTATCCTGGCAACGAAACTACTTCTGCTCTGATAACGAATAATTTGTAAAATTAGTTACGTCAACAAATTTTTTTTTATGTCACTACGAATATGCAGTAGCAACGAAGATTTTGCTAAAAGAACAAAATTATTTTTTTCCGTGTAGCAGTCGACTTAGAAGGCGCGCCTTTGCAGTGCTTAGCGGCGTTATCTTGATCGCGACAGGGTGTAAGTCATCGCAGCGCGACGACGACGGCGACGGTGTTTCCTTCGTTTCTGGAACTGTTTGCGTATGCCAGGCTCGTTACGTCCGGTCCCGGTCGCATCCTGCCTTTCATCGCTGCCTCATCGCCGGATGGATCGACAACCGAGAATCCGAAGGGAATACATTCTCTTTTTCTCTCTCTTTCTCTCTTTCTCTTCCTCCGTCGCCCTCGTGGTCGTCCTTCGTTTTTAGGCGTCGATCGCACGTCATCGTCGCCGGTATCAACATTCGCGGATCGTATGCTTCGCCGTCATCCGTTCATTTCCATTTGCTCGCTGATGGAGCGCATAATCACACGGCGATTGTGCGCTTTCGTCGACATCGCGAGGAATCGTAAACGTAGTAGTATTGATCGAGAGGGGGCTGCTGAAACGAAGATACCTCATTCTATTATGTTGCGATGTTAAGGTAAAAGCATCAATTCTCAGATACGTGTTCGATCCTGAACATTCTTGTTACTTTGGTCTTTACATATGAATATTGAAACTTTTAACATAGGATATGTTGAATTATATATGTTCAATATGAGTTTAAACTCTCAACACATGTATATAGACAGGGTCAGAAAAAAGCTTCGAGATCTACAGAGTAGATACGATCAACACGAGGTTGGGGTGAAACGAAGAACCTTGTTCCATCACGTTGCGATGTTGAGGTAAAAATATTAATTTCCGAACGCGTGTCTGAACATTCTTATTGTTTCGGTCTTTACATAGGAATATTTAAGCTCTCAAGCAGGAATATATTGAGTTACATTGTCGAATTATATATGTTGAATATGAGTTTAAATTTTCAACATACACGAAAAAAAATCTCCGTTGGTGCAACCAAATAGGAGTCAACTGGAAATTAGATGATCAGAAGTGATATCTCCGTTATGAAAATTACTATTTCTGTTGTCGCAGCCGAAAATATTTGTCTGAACATTCAGACATTAGAATTCGGTTGAGACAATTGAAAACAATTGACTATACAAAAGTCTTATAAAGGAATTTTTCTGTTTCTACAGCCGATCAGTTTTCGTCTGATCCTTGAGCAACCGAAAATTTGGTTGCACCAATGGAATTGTTTTTTCCGTGTATATTTCAATATCTATATGGTTTAAAGAAAAGGGTTCAAGACTTACAGAATACGTACTTATAAGGAAAAAATGTTTAGTAAACATAGATTGAAAAATCACCTTTCTAACAACTTCAGAATTATAAATCTTTTAAATCCTTTTTTTGGACATCCTGTATATTTTATGTCAGATTTCAATATTTCTGTTTAAACACAATAAGTCCAGGATCCAGAGATACGTGTCCAGGCATTGATACTTCTACCTTGCATGATGCTTGCCTCGTTTTTTCGTTGAATTTTACTTTTCACATACGCGATGTGCGCGAAGTTACGTTAAACGGGAAAGTCGAGGTTGATCGACGACGAAGTCGACATCACGCAAGAGAACGTTCGCGCGAGATGGCTTGTAATTTTTTCTCTCTCCACGAGCGCGATACAAATTCTCCAATGACTTCATCACGATAATGTACGAGACGCGACGAAAGTGAAATAGATTCGCTTGCGGGAATTTGAAGTTATTACAGTTCCGCTAAAAGCGGACTCATATCTCTGAGTGGCTCGCGAATCGTAAGTGGTTCTCTGGTGGTAGCCAGAGCGGCCGCGGGAATTGCGGCTAACGTTATTACGATGGGAAAAAAATTTTCGTAACACATCGCGTAATATACGGCACGAATGGATGATGCGCCGACTAACGATCCGTGCCCGTTCATCGGCACTCGTGATTCAGGCTAATTTCTTATGCGTTTCTACCAGCACGCAGTCTCCGGACTTTTACCGCGTTATTATTTTCCCTACGTAATAGTAAGCAGGCCAATGGCACACAGGGTCGTGATCTGGGACAAGTAGTAAAAGGATACGCGCGTACGATATCGTTAACATTATTGAATGCCGTGATGATCAACGGCCACTAGTCACCGTGATATTGCTGCGCGTCTCATTAATTCACGTTCAAAGTACAATTAATCGCGCTCAGCAGAATCGACTTTGCCACCACTCGAGAGCCCATAAAACGAAGTGAAGGACACCCCTGCTTAATCCTTTACTTGCAAAACATATGTGTCTCCCACTTACGAAGAACTTTAAGATAAATAGTCCTATCGATTTCTATCCTGGCTTGTTTTAAAGAGGAAGGTTGAGTCTAGATGTAAGAGATTTTAGTATGCTTTTAAATTTAATATTTTCGATAAAATATAGTTATCTGAACTTTTCAAGTCCAACTTTTAGCTGGCTTACTGTCAACATCAAACATTTCTCCATCTTTCTCAACGAGTTTATAGAAGAGAGGATTGCGTTTTGTTGGCAAGTAGATTCTATAAAAGTTATATTACTGTGTAATCGTATTGACAACCATCAATAACGTATATGGAATAGCAGATTTTGATTTATACGAAAATTTGTTTAGAAGTTTCTTGTAGCCACTATCTGAGATCTATTACCTTGCATTTAAACCTTTTGCATTGTAATTAGTGATCAGAAAAGAATCCAAGTACAAATTTTAAATATATCAATATTTAAGCTTTTCACAGCTGCCACTTTAAATTCACTATTTTGAGTTTTAATTTTGATAATAAATGTGGAATCACAACGCTCCCAAGAACTCCTATGATCGTCTCAATGTGAAACATATCTTCTCTGGGAAAGCCGTTAAAATGATGGATAGAAAACGAAGATAATTTTATGTTCAGTCTGAGTTTCAATGTGAATCAATCAACGTCTTCTTGATTTGTGTTGATTGAGAAATTCGGGTTAAACTTTATGCAATGTTATCGTTTTGTATCCATTAATTTCAACAGGGATACGTATCATGAGTTACATTTCTCTACTGTATCCTTGCTAATTCGAATCAGTCAGGCATTTTCAATGTGTTTGATTGCCATTGTTAATAAACAGTACATGAACCCGTACATGAACAGCGCCGTGCGAGCAATTTTTTGTATACTTTATTGGGCGAATTAATGCAACATGATTCTAAGATGACTCCTCTGGTTTATTTGAGCGATTTGGCTCTTAGAATTCTTTTTCTGAAATCATATTATCTCGCTAGATAATTGCATTCGCCGCGAATTCCACTTTGTTGCGCTGGATAATCCTAGTTCCTTGAGTCTTCGGGTATTTTAATTAAAGTAACAATTTCCCGGCTGTCATCTGTTCTCTTTCGTCAAGCAGCGACGATTCCTCACGGAGATCTCTCTAAACAGCTAATACCCTCCTCGGACTTCGCGCTAAGCGGTCAAAGTTCCCCGCGTCCTGCTGTCACGATCTCGTCAGGTGACATGATAGCTCGGGATTTAGCTGTAAACGATCATATGAGCCTCTAAGCCTCTTAGTCGAGCGATGACGCCTTCTCGCGGTGCGTCTCGCTAAAACTCGTGACGAAGCGATAAACACACGTGAGCGCCGGACGTCTCGCGTTGCAAGACGCTCGATGACTGGCGCGCAACCTTATGGCGCGCGTTTGCAGCCGAGACTGGCCTGAATGCCTTTTTTTCGTGGTGTACCGTTATGGTAGGATACTAACGTAGGATTCTCTGACTCGCGCGAGCCACGGTTCTTCTGTCTGCGTCGCGTCGATTTCACCCATCGTCGTCGACGTCGTCGTTGTGTCGCTTCGGGGGAGAACGTGTCCTCTTCGTCCTGCGCTCCGACACTCTCGAACGTCTTCTCCTCTTCATCCTGATCGGCGGCCGTGGTGGAAAAAAAGGCCGGGCGCGATCGAGACCGTTGTCGCTCGCGCCAGTCGATCTTCCTCAGTTCTGCACGGCGCACGTGGCGCGACAGATCTTCCAGACCGCGCGGATGCCCCGCATGCGAACACCGCGACGTCGTCTCCCTGGGTGAACGCCGATCGCTGTCGAGCCCATCCATCATCGCCGCACATCGTCGCCGGAAGTGATCATCGCGCGCGCACTAGGAAGAGCGCCGAGGATGAGGGCCCGGCTAGTCTTGCTGGGAGTCCTGCTCGTCTGCACGAGTGTGAGTATGCGTTTTCTACTGCCGGGCAAATTGAATTTCTCGAGCCACCCTCTCATCCTGAAATCTTCCCTCGCGGGAGATCAGTTAGCAGTGGTTTCCGCAAACAAGGTGTTCTGAAACCGTCATACGATATTTCCGTAGAGAGCTACCTAGACACAATGTTCAAAATCGGGACATAAAATGTGTTCAAGTTGTCTTTGAGGCGTCTTTAGGAGATCTTTAAGATGTCTCAAGTCACGATTTTGGACATTGTATTGTGTCTGAATAACGGTTCATAAAGTAAGGTTTTCTTTCATTGGTTTAACACCAATATACTATGAGAAGAAATACTCCAAAAATAGCAAATATTTCTTTGGTGGGTGCTAATAACATATTTATATATTTATTAAGATTTAAATTCTTTTATTCAAATAAAATAAACAATTGTCTTGATAAAAAACTAAGGTTTTTCTAAGGTTTCAAGAAAGTCTTCTTGTGAGCAATATTTGATATATTAATATAAATGAATATATTATTAGCATCCACCGAAGAAATAAATATTGACCATTTCTTGAACTATTTTTTCTCTCAGTGTGTGTAAAATTCAAGCTACGTCCCCTTGAACTTATGTCATCACGTCTTCTCGATACAAGCACACGCATACATATAAGTCGCTTATTCCCTCGGCAACACGTCCCGAAAATTGTCTCACGATCCACAGATTCGGTATGCCGAGAGCAGGTCGAAGAAGACGACGCAGCTGTCGCTGCAGAGCAAGGAGACCAACGTGGTGAACTTCATGCGACTGCTGGTGATGAGATTAGTCTTCGGGGTGGCCACAGCGATGGGGCTGGGTGAGAATCTGTCGGGTGTGCTGGGAGGTATTTTCGTGCCGCCCGGCGCCGAGGACTACAGCGATTACGGCGACGATGTCGAGCTCGTACCTGATCTGTTCTGAAATAGATACCTCTTAGCGTTGATCGCGTTTTAGGATCTTCGTCCGAATGAGAAGCGCGCGCCTTCGAATCGACCTCCCCGTTTTTCTCCTCCTTGGTTGAAATTATGAGGTACGATGATCTCGTTAGTTCCGCGTCTCGGAGAATGCCTGGATCCGCGGTACCAAACGAGGACGAATCGGACGAAGTAGATGAAAATTGACCTATGTGCATGCGAGCGCGGCTTGTACATGTTCACCTTCGCGTACGTTCGTGCGCGTATACGTACGCCACGGCGGCTCTGATGTGTTCTATTGTTTCATAGTAAGTATATCTAAAACAAATTTTATGTGGCTTTATGTGCCGTGCGATTCACGTGCGATTAGGTGGCGTGTAAAAATTAGAAAGAAAGTCGGAAATTTGCATAAGTAGTTTGACGGGTTTCGCACAAAAACGGATAACTTGAAGAAAGTGTGGCTTATCGAGTATCCTCGATCCTGCCACGATAACGGAACGAACGAGGGGCGTTCCGTTAACTTTGAGTCCGTGTTGGTACGATAAGTTATCGATATGAACACGATCGGTATCGTACGTGTGGGAGACCCGCGAATTGGAAGAGATGTTCACTCGTAAACGCGCTGATTGGATTGCGACTCAGCCACGTGCGCGTGTCCGTAACTCAATCCCACGCGCGCGAGGTTATATTTCTTTTTTCTAAATGGTTTTCCGTACCGTTATTCGTAATTTCGGTAGAGTTAATGGACGCGCATCGGTTACCACGGACGAAGATATGCCAGCGAATCGCTCGCTTCCGCTTTCTATTTAACCTGTATTAAGTGAACGTAACTATCAACTCCATCAGTTCTGGTCCAGTAGGATCAGCGTTTGCTGATCGCGAATTGGAAATCCCCGCGTAAACACACGTTTCTATCTTGAGAGCGATCAAGAGCAATTTTGCGAACCTACAGCGATCGGGTCGCTCACATTGTCGGTGTATTTGATGCTTTAAAAATGAATTCGAATGTGTAACTTGGACTTACGCTCTCGGAATGATTGACTGAAATATACGGCAAAAATGAATGGTGTATTACGCAGGCAAACATCAATTTTTATCTCCAGACTGTAGGCGATCCTCAAGGTTTTTGGCGCGCTGAAACCAAACATGTTATGAAAAAATGCTCTATTACGTCAGATTTCCAAGATATTTCAACCTAAAAAGTGCCAAAAAGCCATTTTATCACTTTCAGATTGAAATAAATTTGAAACGAAAAGACCGATTTAGTTATCGTATTCAAATTCAGTATGAAAAAATATCAAAATCACTTTTTAATACAACTCAATAAATACAACAATACTGTATATTTTTCTCAATCCTTTTTATATGTGACTTCAAATAGTAATTTTGTATACATGATTCATGATACTTAAAATTTCAATAATATAATACATTAAAAGTTAAATAAGTATAATTTTAGATGTTTTAGTTTTTATATAAATAAACATTTTAAATCGAGAACTATGATGTTCCTATCAACGTGTGTTAAAGGATATAAAAAGTTTAGCGCAGATATATGGAGTATTTGTTTTTTAATTTATTGAACGTAACAATCGACTTTAGTAGATTTTTTCATGCTAAACTCAAATCCGTTCACTAAATTGGCCTATCACTTCTCATTTCAGACTTATTCTAACTTAAAAATGACAAAAATGGCTCTTTTAGTACTTTTAGATCAAAATATCTCGCAAAACTGACGTGATAGAGCAGTTTGGGCAACAGATTTTAGAATGCTAAAAACCTTCAAGATCATCTATAGAGATCTGGGGATCAGAGCAAAAGTCAAAATTTGTCTGTGTTATTATCGAATTATAAACAACCTGTGTTATTATCGAAGTTAGAACACGAGCTTGGAATCACGGAGAAACGTCTTGAATACCGTTAAATGAAACGGAAAGCGGCGTTATCATTATCTCCACGGAATATTTATCTATTTAACGTACTTCTAAGGAATAATAATAATTTTAATTTATTATCGCGCATCTCACAAATGGAAGGAAACGAAGCATCGTTATATCAAATTGCACCTCGTGCCCATTGTTTCGGCGATGACAGCTGGCGGATTCAATTGCAATTTGTGTGTATCGATTTTTCGACACGATTCCGAATGTATCTGTCCGATACCGTCGATCCTCTCATCGAAACCCTTTCATGACTCGAACGGGAGAAAGCTAAAAGTCAATCTTTCGACTAGTTTTCGGTAGCATCGCGTAGTTTTAGTTTGTCATGTGTATCTAACTATTAATCGCGCAACGAGCGTAAGTTACATTTGCATCGCGCTCTCTTTTGTAACAAAAGATAACAAACTTATAAAAAAAATGTCGACAATAAATTATTTATTTATTTTGATTTTGTCACTCTTTGTGCGATTACATCAGAAATCACGTAACAAGCGTAAGTTGTATTTGTATCGCGCTCTCTTTTGTAACAAAAGACAACAAATTTATAAAAAAAAATGTCGACAATAAATTATTTATCTATTTTGATTTTGTTACACTTTCTTTGTGTGATTACATCAGAAAGCGGCACCATTCGCGTACGAGTGACGCGAGTAGATCTGCAACAATAGTCGCGGTCGGTCGAAGAAACTGTTACGCGGCGTACGTGTGACCGAGAAAAAAGCAACTGACGTTTGACACGTTGGTTCTCCTCATACATTTCGAGTGTTTCGACGTGAATGGCGCTGTTTAATCACGTACGAGCATTCCGCTAACGGTTCTGAGCGCCGCGTGCTAATTACGCGGCAAACCAATGTCCACCTAGAAGAATTCATCGGTGCACCTGTATAACAGTTAACGTTTCGTGTGTCACACATTATCGAGTTTAACACGGCACGAGTACCGTTTACCGTGACGCCATAGATCGTAGTTTATGTTAGCGTGGTTATATAAATAAGCGCGAGTCACGGCAGTGTCTAGACTTTATAATGTAACAAAACAGAATGACGAGAAATTAAGCGACGGATATTAAATCGCTTACACGTTACTTTATTGTGTTTAAAACTATAAAAATAAATATTTTCTTTTAAATAACGATTATTCTCGTTATTTTCCAATGACATAATTATCAATATAATGTATACATATGATGTCAATGATGTGAGAAATCTTTATGATACAATGATTTTTTATCGCGTCCTTGTCGTATTCTGTATTAGCTTTGTTAAACAATATAAAAATTCATATTCATTTGTATAAGTAAATATAGAAAATGGATTTATTAAGTTATATCTAAGTATCGTCGCTGTCGCTAAAGGAGGAATTGGAAAGGTCGGTTTCCTGCAGATCTTGATAACAGCCGTTCTTCTTTCTTATTAGGTCTCCCCAGAGAACGTTAGTTTTGCATGCAGGACAAATGCCTTCGATTGGTAAAATCATTCCGTCCTTGCAGAATGCTTTAGCCAAGCAAATCAAGTGAGCAGTTAAAAGGCACTTTGGTTTTATACAACTAATAGAATCTTTCTCTGTCATTGTCGAGCCGCAAAGAGGACACAACTTTTCCGTCACCGACGGTGACTCTTGTGACTGAATGTCATTAGCTTTCGCATCTTGTGTTTGCTTGACTTTGCAACTGGCGACTTTGCCATAGCATATAGGCATGTGCAACGGTGGAGATATACATCCATAATATTGTTTGGAGAACTCATAATCCAGCCAGCGTACTGTTAAAGGTAAACGGCACCAAGGTCCAACTTTTAACATTTCAGACAGGACTGTTAGATAGAAATCAAACACTTTCTGCGATGACTTCTTCTTGGGAATGTGTTTCAGCCGTCTGCTAACGTGTGGATGCTGCCAGGCCCATTCAAACTGAAACAATATACTCTAAACAATCCCTTTTTTCTGTGTGTGTGCAAATATAAAACTTCTTTTGATAAGGTTTTCTTGATAGAAAATTGTTCAAAACTTACTCTAAGCGCAGAGGTGCTGTTAGGAAATCCATGAACAATCAAAACCATGTTCCTAAAAATAATAATTATTATAATTCAGAATGTGCACATAAAATGTGTACAAAAAAAATATATATAATTATTTTATATAATACATTAAAATACACTATATAATAAAAAGAAGTAAAACTTAATCTTACCATGGTCCTCTATTACTAGTTTTCCACGCTCCACCATGCTTCTTGCCAGCATTGTGCTGTTTGATTCTACGTCTTGGATCTACAGTGTATCCTATATATGTCCTTCCTTTGTACTTTGGATTTATACAATATAACAAATACACTCCAAAGAAATATTCAACTACTTCAGGTTCTTCCATTGTTGAACATTCCTTTTGGAGCACATAGAATCATATAAAGCACCATTCAATATAGTCCAGTGCATGTCTATACAATTGTCAATCAACCTTTGTATTTGCTGTACCCCATTTTCACACCTATAAAGATGTTAAAGAATGTAATATAAAAAAAGTTTACATATATTCTACTCATCAGTTGTATTTGAGACCCGCCAACGTCAAAAGTATCGACAATAGCAATGAGACAGGTCGATCGATGAATCGATAATTGATTTTTTTTTAAATAAAAGAAAACTGTTCAACTTACCATTAAATCGTGTTAATTAAAAACAAAGAAATCTTTTGGTCTACAGTCGAATCATGTTAATAGGAAGTGCAAAGATTACCTGACCCGCTATTGAGTTGTTGCTTGAAAACAACACGTGAAAAAAATACGTCTAACTTACAAACAGAGAGAAGCCTGAAAGCCGCCATGTGAAGGATTTATCGGTACTTTATTCTGAAGCGCCTCTATGTCCATAAAACATAATTACGTAGCCAAGTCCACGGTTCTGCTCGGTGGATAATAAGTAATATCTACGATTTTATGGTTCTGTTCCGCGCTACTTTTGTATTTTTCCCTTACGAGGGAACTCACGTATAATCATCAGAAGGAAGTTTCTAAAAAAAATTACACATATACACACAGCTTCTTTTTTTGCCCTCCACAGTTGTATTTGGTGACCTAGATTACAATGAAAATATTTAGATATAACATCGACGTACGAGATAGTTCTCAAATAGATTACTCAAGTGCCTATATGCAAGATACATATAATATTGTCTAATTAGATGACACAATATAGCACGATTTCGTAATACTCGATTCATTCGCTAACAAACAACATTTAATATACGCTTTATTTTACTTATTTCTCTTTTTTCTTGCACTGTTATTATTTTATACACGTAGAATACCATACAACGACACATTGACAATATATATATTTTTTTTATTTATATAATTTATATATTCGCTTTGTATGTCTCGTAATGTTACAGAATAGAATAATCGCTATGTCGCGTAATATCGAGTGTCGCGAAATCTGTTCGTGATCGGTGCGCAATGTCTGAGCCCTTTTCGTTCTTCGATCATCGATGGGTCTCGTTTATTGTGAAAATAAACCGCGTCGAGAGCGTTGGCAAAAATATTAAGAAGAAATTAAAAAGTCTGCATCAATAAGGAGGAAAGTAACTGACTCGATATCTTGTATATTATATTTCTCACAAGGTCCTCTGTCAAATTGACATGTTGACTGTCGCACAGGGCGCAGCCACGAGGTTCTCCCACGATCGTTCGGGCGAAGCCGAACCACTGAATCGAATCAGACACGACGCGGGCTCAAACTAAAATCGCCACACGATCGATTGAGCTTCACGCAACAAAAGGAGAAAAAGAAAAAAAGGAGCGAAACATTCGTCCGATTAAAACTAGACTCAGGAATATTCGATTATCTGTGAGAAACGATGTCACGGTGAAACGCGGCGACGAGCGAATCTTGGGAACTTCGAATTTGACGCGTCCTCGCGCGTCCTGGATCGTCCTGGATCTCTCCGTGATGGAATTCCTCCTCTTTCGCGCGGCTACGATGGAGAACGATGGCGATGATGATCCTGCGAGGTACTTCCAGCAACGTTAGGTGACTTAATCTCGCGTCTAACACGGTACTCTCTTGCATCGTAATCTCTCTATTGGTCGACCTAATACGCGTGGTTGGCGACGAAGAGCGCCGCGTCTCCCGCGGCGCCGGCGACGCCGCCCGCGTACTTGCCAAGCGCCGATTCGCTGTTAGCCTGAGGAAACAGAAGGCACGTGTTTTATTTGCGATATTAGTCTTCGGAGAAAGAGCTTTTTGCACCACACAGAAAATAAAGGAGAGAAAAAGCGTACAGAGAAATCTTCAAGAGAATTCTGCTAATGTCTTACCTCTTTAAGAGGAACTTAGCAGGATAACGTTAATTGACGTATTAATGACGTATTTTTTACTATAAAGATGTCACCGATGCGTCATTAAAACGTTATTTAACGTCATCATGTTTGCTGGACTTATTATGAGAAATATCTTTAAATTTGATGATTTTAACTTTAACTTTATTGATCGAACCGTGAAACAGTCGAGCTTTATTAAATTTAATTAATTCAATCGTTTCGTTACTTTCATTAAGGGGAGAGACATTAACGACTCGTGGATCATTCAAATGACATATTTTCATCGCAAGACAAACTTAAGTTTTCAAAATTATCCATACAGCGGATGAATTGATAGTGGGAGTCGATCCACGAGGAACCAACGTCTCTCTTCAACATTGATCCGTTGTACTTACTGCCACGGGAGAAACGGACTGCGTGGAAAGGCAAGATATATTTTTGTTTTTGGTTTTAGTAGGCGTGAGATTTGACGTAGAGAGAGGCGCCAGCGGCTTTGCTAGAAATACTGCCGGCGACGTATTTGCCTTGACAGGCTGCGGCGTTTGCCTAAACAAGCACACATTACATAGACATGCAAAGAAATGCGCGCGACGCTCTAAGCGACCGCAGCTGCGGGAAAAAGGGAGAAAAGAAACAGTAACGAGATTTCTTTCCCATCGAGAAAAATCACTTGCTAGCGCACGGAAGCACAGCGGAAGGGCAAAAGTGCAAAGGTAACGCGGAACGTAAATGTTAAAACGGGAAGTCGCTTTGAAGAGTAAAACGGAGATCAAAGACGGAGCTGGCTAGTGACAGCTACTATCTATAGACGCAGAAGTGAGAAAAGAGTAAAACATGATTCAAACGTCAACGGTTACTAATAGCCACGGACTGGAAACTGCGCATGCAATCTAATTACTCGTCAACTCTCAATTACCGCGCGGGAATAGATTATAAAAACCGCGGGAGCGTGTTTTACGAAATATCAAAGAAAAAAAGAGATGAGAAAAAGAAGCGGCTGTTACTTCACGGAATATTCAAGAATAGATTTAGCAGTCCATCTTTAGCTGTCGTTATTTGTTCGATCGTTACGAAGACAGATATTAATAAAACTAGATTGATATCGCTTCCCATTCTATTAATAAAAATTCATAAAATTAATAAATTATCGTGCGACAGTATCGATTCGCTGTCTGCATTCGATCTCGAGTCGATAGCCACGTTACGCGGATTATCGACAAATTGATACTTTGATCATTTTTCATTTAACTCGATACAATTTTAATAATCAAAAAGTGCCCATTTCGCTCCTTTTTCAAAAACTTTGAATATTCTAATTAACAATACATCAATTTGAAACTTATATGTCGAGTGTGAGATTAAGAATATAAAGTCTCGATACTATTCTCGTAGTCGTTTGGGAGATAAACGGCTCAAAAGCTTGCTTTTTCAATCGTACGGCTGTTTGTTGAGACTGAAATCTTTCGTTTATCTCCCAGACGATTACGAGAATAATATTGAGATTTTATATTCTTAATCTACTCGTCCCAAGCTTCAAGTCGATGTATCATTTATTGGAATATTCAAAGTTTTACAAAATCTCAGGGAAGAGGAGCAAAACTTGACCGCAATTGCCAATTTGATAATTGAGAGTTAATGGTGAAGAGTTACTAACAACAACAAGAGTGACTAATCTAACGTGTTGTTAAACAATAATTCAAAAGAAGAGCATCGTCTCAGGAGGAGACGCGCGTTTGTGCTTACCTTGGCCCTCTTGATCAGTTCGTCCTGACCTGCGGCGATCTGGTCGGCTTTTCCGGCCCAAGCGCGAAGTACGGAAGCCTGAAGGGCGCGTCCGTAGCTGAAGGTGAGCGCCCAGGGTTTCTTCGCCGGGTGCTTGTTGATGGCATCCAGGTTGACCGACGCCTCCTCCTCAGACTGGCCGCCGCTGAGGAAGGTGATGCCAGGCACCGCCGGTGGCACGGTACGCATCAGCGCGGTGACTGTCGCCGCTGCGATCTCCTGCGGAGTCGCCCTCGTCGGACAGCTCTGGCCTGGCGTCACCATGTTGGGCTTCAGCAGCGTGCCCTCGAGGTACACGTGGTGGTCTGAGAGCGCCTGAAAGGACGGATTAAAACGTCTAGATTTATCTCAATCTTCCTTTTACGTTCAAAAAACATCCCACTTTTCTCAGACGTTTCTTAGATTCTTGGATGTCCTTGAGACATCTTTTACAAATTTTTGTTGCTTGAGTAGATTTAACAACGTAAGATAAGTGCGACTTATATGTGTGCGTGTGCACATACGTAAATGTTAGGTTGATGCAAAAGATTTATTCTTTTTCATCAGGAAGTTAAAGTATTAAGACTGATCAACCCTCTGAAATTGGGTAATTTGATTTTCCATCTTATTTGGCGAACACAACGAACCTTCTGCACCAATCTAATACCACTTCATGTTTGGTTCTCATTGGCCTTATCATAATTATGTTTATAATCTAATACGTCTTATTTCAAAAAGAATGTTCGTCTTATCTAAGAGAAGCGGCTTTATCTTCCTTGTGGAAAGTTCTTACGATTTAACTCGTGGCAGCTGTTTGCCTCATGACTCACGATTATAGCTGTAATCGCATTACGGAACATTTAACAGAGACGACCTTCCTCGCCCTTGCGAAAATTCAATTAAGTCAATTAGTCTCGGCGAGAATGCGAGTAAATTGACCAGTACCTTGTAAACGGCCGCCAGGACCTCCTCCGTCACCTGCTGGCAACGGGCGAGATCGTGGTCACCGTCGGGCAGGATCTCAGGCTCTACAATCGGCACGATCCTGGCGCTCTGGCAGATGGAGGCGTAGCGCGCCAGCACATTGGCGTTCTCTAGGATCGCGAGCTTGCTCGGCGTGTCCTTGGTGATCTTCAGCACGCATCGCCATTTGGCGAAGTGGCAGCCGTCCTTCTTGTACTGGATGCAGCGCGCCTGCAGGTCGTCGAGGCCCTGAGTTGTGCATTCGTTGTTCGTGCCGAAAAGCGGTACGACGCCCTTGTCGACCTTGATGCCGGGGATGATGTTGCGCTGCTTCAGAAGCTCGACGAACGGCGTGCCGTCTTCGGCCTTCTGGTAGAGAGTCTCGTGAAAGAGGATGACTCCGGAGATGTGTTGCCCGATGACGTCCTGAGGGTGAGAAGCAAAGCCGAACGTGTATTTACGAGCGACTACGCGACGCGTCTTCGTCGTTCGAACGAGATCGTGCGATCGATGAATCCCAGGAAGAAATCGCCAAAGGTGAGAACTTTAAGTGAGATGCTACTTTAACCCTTTCAAGACAGGGAGATAATTATAGGGAAGTAATTATAGGATACGTATAGATAATTATAGGATACGTATTCTATGGGTTTTCGGGATCGTTGAATCCGAATCTGAACTTAGATTTTAAAAATTAGAGAGTATGAAGTTCCATGGAATTCAGTCATATTTACATAATTTGGCATTTTAAAAATCGCCATATTTGATCCGCGATTATGAATTTTACTTCAAATTTTTTACTTCAAATTTGGAAAGAGCACCCCAAAAAATCCCTACATACCAATTTTTGTGAATATCCGATCGATAGTTTCTGAAAAACATGCACGAAGGCCGTACACGGAAAAAAAAGTTTGGTTGAATTAACCAAATATCTGGTTGAATATGAACGATCCAGAAATTCCGATTGAAGTAACCCGAATTCTGTTTAAGTTAACAAGATTTTTGGTTGACTTAAACAGAATTCGGGTTACTTCAATCAGAATTTCTGGATCGTTCATATTCGACCAGATATTTTGTTAATTCAACCAAACTTTTTTTTCCATGTAGAGCATCAAAAGATGTCTCCCGTCCTGAAAGGGTTAATGACAAGCCGGGAAAAATTTTTAGAAAGAAATCAATGAGTGAAACTCATAATAAAGAGACAATTTATCGTTACGAATAAGGTTGGTAGTTGCAAAATATTGATATGTGCAGTTAAACATGTAATATCTTTGCGAATTCTCCGGCAATTCTTGTAGTACGACTGTACCTTCGCTGTGGTGAAAAGCAGCTGTCTGTAGATCCTGCGGTTGTCCTCATTGTTCTCGACGTTGATGTCCTGAAAACGCTTGCCTATCGTCGCGGTCGACTCGTCGGCGGCGAGGATGCCCCTGCCCGGTGCCACGATCTGCTGGGCGATCGTGTTCAATTCCTTCTTCAGCTCAGGATCAGCATGAGTGTACTTTTCTGCGACCATTTTCTGCAACGCCAAAATGCCAGTTGAAGCTAATTGAACTCGATCGAACGCGGCCACGATTCGAGTTGGACTCGAAAATCTTCGATTCCATCGCGACCCAAGCAGAACATCCGATGAAAGTGCGTGCATTACGCACCAACGCGTAATCTCGGATTCCTTTTTGAACCCGTTGCTGATGAGTAGAACAGCTTCCAAGTAGAACAGAAACTCACAATGACGTCTAAATGATGTCAAAACGACGAGAAAACGATTAAAGAACTCATTTCTCGATCGCGATTCGGTCATTTTCTTATCATTTTGACATCATCGTGATTTTCTGTTCTACTGAGAAGCTGTTCTACTGAGAAGCTCTTCCTCAACGACGGGTTTCAAAGAGAGATTTGAGATTACGCGTTGATGCGTGACGTGCGCACTCTTATCCGATTGAGGCAGAATCCCCGCGCGACGGCCAATGAAATGGCCGGGGGGGAAGGAGGGGGGAAGGGGGAGAAGGTAATGTCCTTACAGATGAAGCGGAAAGATCGTGCCGTGCGCGTAGAATGAAAGTAACCGCGGTCTCTTAGAGTCGGCACATTCCGAACGCGGCGTGTCCGTAAAATCGTCGCGAGCATCGTTCATCGTGTACGCCTCGCGTCACCTGTTCTTCATCGTTCACCCGGACTGACGGCGCGAAACTCGTCGTGAAAAACTTAGTCACGTACTTTGCATTCAGCCGTTCGTGTTCGTTGATTCTATACAGTCCTTTTGGTGAAATTACATTTATACTCGGGACGTCAGCTCCACACGTCGTCTGACCTCGTTCCCGACGTTTCGAGATGCAGTTTTCATTTGCGGCTTTTAAGAATACTGGAAACGTAGTTTCGCAAGCGAGACGTAATTTTGTTGATGCATCCGCGAACGGACTTAACAGGATGTTCATCGTCTCGTTCGGGAAATTGAGTAGCCCGGGGAGACGCGACGAAAATTGAAAAGACGACAGCGACAGAAAACGACAATGTCGCAGGGGAGACTTGGAAATAGAGTCAGGTGTGCGTGTACGTGAACATTAAGACGATATTGATCTTCCTTCTGCATACCCATGAGAGGAAGCAATTATAATAAGTCATGAAGCTATGGCGCTATATTCATCGCGTGCGACGAAATGCCTCCGCGGCAACGACCAATTCCTCTGAATCCTCCTCCTCGCGAGGAGTCTCAAGGTTATGTGCGTGTAGCCGACTTAATGGAATTACAGCACTCGTCGGTCATAAAGCAATACGATCGATTCTGCGAGCCGTGTGTTTACGACGCGTCGTGCGATTCAACACACTAACTGGCTGCTATTACCGCTCGTATCATAGAACGCGCGAGACATCTTATCGCGCGAAGTTTCTCTCGACGCTGCTATTTATCCAACTTGCACTTGTTGATAACTCACGTTATCGATAATTCGCTCGACAAACGCCCCTTTGGCGCCGGAATTTGCCGCTCGTACGATAAACCGTGAATTCGCTGTTTCACGTCAGAAATTAGATTTCTACAACTTCGCAACTGCGAGAGAGAGAGAGATGAGCATTACATCCGAAGTGTTCCAAGTATATTACAACGGTGAGAACGTTCTCGAATCATCTCCTACCGGGATGTCAGGTAATCCTCGACTTTTCCGCAACTTCTGTCTCATTTTTGACGTTACAACCGGCTCAATCGCTCTTATAGAAGAACTAGGAGACATTAATATCAATATGATATTAATATTTGACATCAATGAATGTAGATCTCGACGCTTCAGGCACAAGAGAGCTCGTCTCTCACCGATTGTTACGTACATAAACAGAGAGATCTTTTCTCTGACTTTTCCTGTCGCAGTTACGGATTCACACTTTGACTTCTTTCGACAAAGTTGCTGGAGGTACAACAGTTTCAAATTCAAACGAGGAGATCGGTCTCTTACCTCTCTGGAGGGCTCAGCAGGATGATCGTTCAGCGTGAGCTCCGCCGTGGCGTCTCACCGAGCGTAAACAAGAGTGCGCAACATCCCGACGCCGTTAGCTGCGTGTGCACGTACGCGCACGACGCAGAACGGCGATAAGAACGATCGTGCTCTACCGGTAATAATAACAACGACATAACAATAAACGCGCAACGTCGCGAACAGCGATCGCGAGGGTGACAACGCGATCGGACTACGGCGCGATCGCGCCAACGTAGCTGTCGAACGTAGCTCTCGTCGTTCGCCGGATGCCGGGGTGCCCTTCTTCGCACCCCTGCGCCGAATGTTTTCGCGCGGCGAGACGAGATCGCAAGAGCGACGTGCAGCTGTGCATCATTTAATGATCAATCGAACACCGATACAAGGTAAAAAGAGATACAGGATACTAAAGAGAGAGAGAGAGAGAGGGAGACGATAGAGGGGGAGAGAGAGTGGTGTGTGTGTGAGAGAGAAATAGCTAGAGAAAGCGGGAGAGAGCGACAAGATAAACGCCACGAGACGTGCGGCACGACACGGGGCCTTGTACACGGGGTAGGCCCCGCGCGCTGCGATATGCCACCCCCGTTCGACTACATCTCGCCTGCTCGCGTTCCGGAGTGAACCAACTCGCGCGCGCGTCTCGCACGGCCGCGAGTCGCCGACTGGTTTTATCCGGTCCGTGCTCCACCCCCGGTGCACCCCCGATGCACCCTCGACCACGGTGCAGGGGGTGGTTAGGTGGGTGTACCTGGCTGCAGTGCAGTGTCGTAACTGTAAGACAGGGGAATGAAGGGGGCGGAAGGGGTCGGCAGATCCGAGCGGTAGGGGTGGTGGAAGATGCGTCCTGCATCGTCCTGCCAACGGGGGAGGCAAGAGAGCGAGAGAGAGGGAGACAGATAGATAGAGCAAGGGAGAGAACGAGATGCGATGGGGAGCGAGAGAGAAAGAGAGAGAGAAAGAGAGAGAGAGAGAGAGAGAGAGGGGATAGAGAGCGGGCTAGCCGCAATGCAGCACGCGCAGACGTCCTCGAGGCGCGCTGCGAGGATACCCCTGCTCACCCTGAATTCGTGTGACCTGAGGCAGCGGCGCGGCGACGCGATCCGGTCCGAATCGGCGATCGGCACCGACACCCCGCGATCCTTCCTACGCGAGCGGAATGCGCGCTATTATGGTTGCCTCAGTGCCGATTAAGTCCAACGGTAAGACTGCTAATCCTAGCTTAATTAGGATTCCGGCTTCTACTGCGTCGATCGATTCGATCCGTAAGTTAGCTAACAGCTCGGCGTCCGTCTTTTGTCTTCGACAGTGCTATCATCTGGGAGAAGGCTGAGAAGCAGTCGCCAGTCCAAGATAATTCGGTATTTGTGTTGAGAGAGAGCAGAGGGCCGAGGAAGTACCGAGGTTAGATCGCGAGTATTTATCCCGGTGGAAGTGCGATTGGAATAGATGAATAGATAGATAGGTGGACAGGAGGACTGCTCGCGGGATGTTCGTTCGATTTGCAATCGCGACCGGACGATGCACGCGTCGTGAGCAGGTGAACTCGAAAGTAAACATCTTTTTTCCTCGCTGAGAGTGCAATTAAGATAATGGGGAGCAAGGAAAGTTTCCCTCCAATCCTGCTCGTCTGCAGGAATCGGGAGATTTGCAATGCAGAGTGTGAAGGAAGTTCTTTTCGCGGGAGAACTGACGGGGAGATTAGTATGAGTTTAATTTTTTCAGCTTTCACATTAATCTTCCCAAGTTTCAGGGAAAGAAAATACTACTGCTCTGCATGGAATCTCTCAATATTCTCATCGCGACCAGACATCGTTTGGTCGCGGAGGAATGAACTCGCGAGTAAACAGTAGCGACCAGGAATTTAAATGAATGACGTGAACTAACCATAGAGAGAGAGACAGAGAGAGGGAATGCAGAGAGAGAGAGAGAGAGAGAGAGAGAGAGAGAGAGAGAGAGAGAGAGAGAGAGGTGCAGAGAGAAGCACTTCGTTACGAGTATTTTTAGCAAATCAGTGAAGATTTCCGTCAAATGTTAATAGTTGTAACACAATGTTATTAGTTGTTAGTAATTGTTACACAATTGTTATATCTCGTGTGAGTATAATATCGATAATTATATGTCTCACGGGGAGGGGCGCCGCGTTATAGTGAGTGTCCTAGATTCCAATTCTATCCTAGCGTAATGACACACCGCGCTAGCTTATGCATGTAAGTCAGTTCGGTCGGTGGATATGTCGGAGTAATTTCGACACTTTGTTGAATCTCGTGGTATTATTTATACGCGCGCACGAGAGAAACGTTGTCGCCGTTGCGCTACGTGCACGCTGCGCTGCGCCGGAAGAACTTTCCGGGGTGTAGCAACGTCACGGGCCGGGGCTGAAGATGAAAATTTACGATCACGAAGAAATACGAGGCTGCAGGGAGCGCAGAGTGCATATCCGGTTGCCGCCGGGCCGCTGGTGGCAGAGGAGGGCTGCGGGCGAGGTAAACGGTAAGCTAGAATTACGTGGCTTTAGACCCGATCAAATTGCACGTCCAATTATATGCGCGAGGGCGATTTCCGCGGGCGGTTTCGATCGCGCGATTTTCATCGTCGAGACTGAGGATCGCCTCCGCGTACTTTCGAGTAATCAAGAATTTCTAAGATTTATTACGTGAATTGCTGTCCCAGACAGCACAAGATCTTCAGAGGATCTTCTTAGAAATCCGGGGTTGTTCTTAGAACGTAGAGAGAGAGAGAGGATATCCTGTGAAGATCTGTGCTGTTTGGGGCGCGATTGTGCGACCTGCCGTTTTTCGTCTGTCGCGTCTCGCGACAAATTCACGACATACTTTTGAGGTGAATATCATTTTCATACGGTGCAAACAGAAATACGACGTGTCTCGGCGAGAAAAGAAAAGTAGTTTCAGACATTGTGAATTATATAGTTCCGGGAAAGCCCGGGGCCGTTGTACGAAAATGGAGGTATTTATCTCGGCGAAAGTGCGGTCATAACGAGCGCGGGATAAGGAAGATTGCTCGAATATTTCCTCGGAAAAATTCCGTGAACGCGTGTGAGATATCGTTCCGCGGATCAAATAAAGCGAAACTTCGTTTCCAGCCGCTGGAAACTTCGTATCTCCGGCGGAAAGGAGAAAAAAAGGGAAACAAGAAAGGAGAACTTGTCCACGCTCGAGAACAAAAGCAATTATCAAGATTGTATTATAAAGTTTGCCAGGGTGGGAAAACTCTCGTGCGAGCGCGAGGAATACCTCCTCATAACACGAGGTACACTACGAGAGGTTGTCCGCAACGTCCGCTATGTCCGCGGACACATTGAATTTACCGGATGATGCAATTCGCCCGTGTCTGGATGAAATCACAATCAATTGCAGACTTTCTCTGTCCCCAAACGGAAATAATCGTGAGTTTAGAACCTAGAACACTGGGAAAAGTCCCTCGATTGTCGGGACGAAGGCACGTTCGCTGTTTGACGATCGTTAGGGGAACAGATTGGGCAGTTACTGTCGCAAATCACTTCTCGTCATTTGTTATTTCAACAAACGTACATATTGCCTGAGATAAATGTCACATTTATTCTGTCTGTCTGTTTGGCTTAGGTCAGTTGTATCTCGATTGCAGAAGCTCGGAGCAGCAAATTAAAATCATTTGTTCCTACTAGGGGGTCATTCGCTGTTCCATGAGAGAGCTGAGGAAGAAAGCAGTTGGGTCGACAAAATCAACAAAATCACTCGCCTTTAAAGAAATATTGTATTTATTGCACAAATTACGTGTTAGGACAAGGAGTTGCAACAATAAGTTGCGTTAACATGGTTCATATGACCAAATTGCAATCTTTGAATCAATTTATAACTCTCTCTCTGTCTCCGTTCCTCTCTCTCTCTTATCATAATTTGTTCGGTCGACTAAACGTTTGCTTGAAGGAATTTTGTTCGTTCACAAGCAAAATGTCACTAAATATTAACTACTTTTATTTTTCTCAGTGTATCAAACATTCATTGATATTTTGTTGAATTAACAAAACTTTTTCTCCCTTCCTTCTTCCTTCCTTTTTTCTTGAAGGCTGTTTTAAATGTTTCTCTTGTAGGAAATATAAAAAATTTCCAGACACTATTATATTTTTATTTCCTTATCGCGAAAAATTTTACTATATAAAATAACGGCTATAAAGAAATACATTAGAGAGAGAGAGGGTTTAATTAAAAAGTTAGCTCTGAATTCGAGGACGCGCAATCCATTTTCTGAGGAGAACAGATAATCGAGAGTGCGAAAGATGAAATCGTCGTTTTATCTTCAGCAACAAAAGATCTCAGCGAAAACTACTATTTTTGTTTGCACGACAGTAATAAACTGCTTGAAATAACCGTGGCTTTGGATCCCAACGCGAGGCGATGTTCTTCGTGCTATTTTGCACACAACGGCTTGTAAATACGATATGCAACCGTATATCGCGCATAATCATATTTCATAATCAAGCTGCGGGCCGTAAGGAAGTTAGCACGAGTTATTTGCTTGATTTACGCGATTCAATCTCGATATTTCAATTTCTTATTTTCGAATTTTTTTTTCTCTCTTTCACTTTATTTTTAAAACGCTTATGTGTTCCTCTGCTTGCGCCAATTATGCATAAAAGCTACAGTATTAGTTTTTTCTTTTTTGCTTATGCTTCTAGGATTATGTTTATGTTTTCCGCTGCATGCGTGTCTATAATTAATTTTGCGATTATACTCAGCACTTAATAATTTTAATATTATCAATTTTTTTTCAATTATGCTCAAATTTGTCTTGCGTTTTTCAAAGTCTAGCATTCTTGCTCTACACTATAGAATTATCGTTATTTTAAGAAGCATAGTACCTCCGGGTTTAATAAACTCTACTGTACTCTATTCTCTCTCTTTACCTCTTTCTACCTTTTTCCACGTCACTCTAAAATCGTTCATCACGACTCAACTCCTCAGTTGTTCTCGGCTGCATATCGCGTCCACCGACGCGAAGCGAAAAGTTCTGAATGAAATAATAATCGAGAGAAAGAGGAAGAAAGAGAGAGAGAGAGAGAGGAAGAGAGAGAGAGAGAGAGAGAGAGAGAGAGAGAGAGAGAGAGA